AATATGCTTCTGATTACTATCAGTGGAACAGAGTTGGAGGCACCTGCAAACAGTCTTTTGTAGAGTGAAAAAAACCCAAAAAATTCATATCACAAGACATGTCACTGGGAATTCATGCCATCTGTCTAATGATGAATGACACCAGTGTGGATGGTATCAAGTCAGCCTACAGACTGGCTATATATACTTATAAACCTGCAAATACATCACACAAAATGGCCTTGCATACACTGTGCATCAAAACAGAGCACATAATGCTTTGTCACAGGGTAACCTGGTCTATTAAAATGGTCGTGTGTTCAGAAATGAAGGTAGTTGCTGACTTCAGCCCATTTTACTTCTTTTCCTCTTGTCATTTTTTCTCCTGAAGTCTCATTTCGTGGTTCAGGATCCATTTTGCTGTGATTTGAATGCTACAAATTCTATTATTTTTTATACCTTTTATTCTCTGATCCATGGGAATGTCACTAGGTACATTTTTTATAGTAATTTCAAACAGAACACTCTACTCTTTTTCAGCAAAGTGCAAACAGTCTTTGCTTCTTAATACATGTCTAGATACTCTTTCAAACATTTTGCTAAGTTTAATGTCATTGATTTGCGGTTCTTTCCTGAGGTGAAGCTGGTAGTGTATGGATGCTAACTGTGAAGCAGGGAGCACAGTGCCTGTGGAATAGCAGGCTGCATAACTTCCTCAGTCTTGCCTGAGAAAGTGGCCTGGGAAATCATAAGGAGGAATAAAACAATCCTAGAGATGAAGACAGCCTTGCAGGTGCTGTTTGTCAGTTTCTTGTTTCCTTGCCAGAGAAAGTCGAGGGGTGGTGAACCCCACTGACCAATGATGGTGATGTGTTAGTTTACTAATAAACCAAGAGAAATTCTCCAGTTTGACTCCACAAGAGAGTCTGTGTCGTTCTTGTCACCGTTCCCAATAGAGCGACAGGTAGTGCTCCAAACTTAGTGAAATGGAACACCTAGGACAGATTCTCTACTTGTGTAAGCTGTAGAAATTGAAGTCTGTATATATATGATGAACTCTGACAGTAGGATTTAACTATATATTAAAGAAATTACATCAGAATTATAAGTGAGATTAGAGTTTCCTTCTATACTCTTCTGCGCTTTTTTTCCCTTCCTGATACAGCTATAATGGTCTCACTTGGCATAATGTGATTGCTACTTTAGCTTAGTTTTTTCATTATAAAAGTATTAAAGGCTTCACCTCACTTGACCTAATATCAGTGATTTTAAATGTAAACATTGAGACTAAGTTTATTATCTAGACTTCCCTGTTTTGTCGTGGATGAAATATGTGAAGAGTTGCCTCTGCAGGTACCTTCTTTCATGGAGTGTGAATTCTCAGATGTCAGTCTCAGGGCAGATATTTGTCTTTCAGTTTGCTATGTACAGCATCTGTCCCCTGGTCTCCATACAGTTCTGGTATCTTAGTTCTATAGTGATATATTGAACATGATAAAATCTCTGGATTTTATTTGCAGCCATATTATTTATCACAGCATCAGGGTAATGGGTTGGTCCAAGTCCTTGTGAAATGAAACAAAGTCACATTAAAAGCAGTGGATGAAATAGCTTATTTGCTCTTTTTTTTAACAGACTGCTTCTCTTCTCAGGTGAGATCTCTCTAGAGATACTTGATTTCCTGTGTGCTTTGACTCTGGTTGCTGGACCCCCTGGACTCAAATTAATCAGTAGCAGAACATTAGAACCAAACTGAGCAGAAAAAAAATCTAACAATAGCCAAATGTTTCAGGAAGAGGAATAATTATGTACAAATAATATCTCACTACTGCAAAACCCCACTACATTAGTTTTTAATAGATACAGCTCATTAAGTGAGATAAGCCTTTCAATGAAAAGAAATGTGTATAGGAAAGCTAAAAATTATAAACAGAAATATAACAGTTGGTAGGATTCAGCATCAAACTGCTCAATTGGAGTTAGTTTAAGCATTTAATACGGTTTTAGTCTACAGGAGGAGCAAAGATGCTTAGTCAAGTTTTATCCTTTCTGCTGTTGTTGAGAATATGTACCCAGGCAGATGGTACAAATATGTGCATCTCAGGTTTTTGAACTCTCAAATGTCTTATGTCACAAATACAACCTGTTAAAGTCTGTAATCTGTTTACTATTGGGTATATGCACTTAGCCCCAAAGTCACATATTTGCTCACAGAAGGCCCACAGCTGGAACACCAGGATGGAATCTTATGTGTGTAAATGTGTCTGTCAAGAGGCACACTCCACTTTGCTTCATTATTTTTTTTCAGATAAAATTGTACTTGCAGTTCCTTAATTGTCATAACCAGACATAAAAATACCTCCCAGTGAATAATGGAATTGCCATGAAACAAAACAATGAGCTAATTTCCTACTAACAGAGAACAAGATGTGAACAGTGTTTGGAGTGTTTTTAAAATGTGGTACTAATTAATTCTGCATTTATTCAACACTACATTACCTTTTTAAGTCACTCAGGTAGCATTACAGTATTTGCAATTCAGACAGTGCAAGCTTTCTTATTGCCTGCAACAGCAGTAAAATGGTTTCTGTTAAAGGATAAACAGTGACAACTAGAAAAGATAAAAGTATTACAAAATTTTTGTGCAAAATATTTCTGTTATAGAAGTTCATATTTTTTAATGTGTGACAATTAATTGAAAAACAGTTGGGTTGTATTATTTAAATAGAAACTAATATGAACAAAGTCAATCACTACAGGTTTCCAAGCCACTCATATAATCATGGAAATACTACTATACAGTGAACTTCAGCATAGGTAGAAGGCTAAGTAATTTCTCCAGGTATCCTGCAGCCCTGTTTGGATAATTCTATAAAAGGTACTTTGAAATATTCGTTCTTCTAGAGAATGTTCTTTGTTCTGAGTCACATTTTAGTAATAAAGAACTGTATTTCTTGTCAAAACTCTTGTGGGCAAGTGGCTATGACACAACCAGTGTGATTCAGCATCCTCCTCCTCAAATGAGTTTCACAAAGATTCTTATAACTGTATGCAATATTAATACAGACTTTGATACTAGATGTTTCTCTTCTTTGAAAGATAAGTAACAATGTATTTTAACTCTTGTAACTTATTATTTTTACCTATTTTTTCTGCATTAATTACAGTAGTTAATAATACAGTGAATCATCTTATTTAGAAAGAAGTGTGGCAAACACTAGTGCTATGAAATGCCACTAATCATCGTCTTTCCATCTTGTGGAAATAAGGAAATGAGATTTCAGCCTTGAAAATTGTGATTTTATTTGGGCTGAAGAGCAATATTTTCATGCCTCTTGTTCAAAACAAAGTCAAAATAACCCCCACATAACTGTTGAAAGATTTGAACCTGAATTTTCTAAATCTTGACCAGAAAGTCTCAGATGCTTGAAGCTCTGCAGCTGCTTGTGAGTGCAGGCATTACCATTCTGGGTCGGTGGAGCATCTAGGGACTCATTTCATGCCTGCATCTGTTGGGGGTCACAGGCTTCAGGAAGATATTCAGTATTCATGAGTCTAGAGAGAAAATGAAGCTGTAGAGAGTGTCTAGGGAATGTTTGTCAGGAAAGTGAGAAGGGGATTGATTTCTCAATGATGCATTTTTCTTTACATTAAGAAAACACAGAAATAGCACTGTAAGTAGGAATCATCATGCAAACTCAGAAGCGGCTTGGGGGTTTAAGGTGCTACTACACGATATTGAGTAGACATAGCCAGAAACCTCAAGTGTGGGTTGGTTATTTTTGCATCTAGGTTTGGGTGCTGAGCACTGTGCAACCGCTACTTGTGATTTGCTAGGATAGGGCAATGTGGTTTCCTGCTACCCTACCCTATCCATGTTACCCTGCTTCTTATTGTTGATCCTTGCTGCCTCAATTAATGAGCTTTCTCCTACTCCTTGTTCAGATTCCCTTGCTCAGTCCTTGACAAAACAGAACATATGCTGTGGTTGCTGTGTGGTGTTAGCAATGGCCCAGCTGTATTTAATAACATTGTGTTACTCTGTGCAACAAATTCTGACTAATTGCTGCTCCACTGCTCTGCCAGTCTGTGAAGAGGTCAGCACTGAAAACCACCAAGCAGGAGCTCCCTGCCAAATCTCCTTAAGGTTGTGCAAAAAACAAACTTTGGAGAATGAGGTTTGACTGGTAGGAAAGTTAAGTGTTTTGATGAAAGAAACGTGTTCATCATTGATCCAGGTGCTGAAGTTTTTCATTTTTCCCCCCGTGCAATGAACATAAACAGTTTTGACTTGGTAGATCCTGTGAAAAACTCTTCCTCTTTGTCTTTATTAGAAAGTCAAACTGTTTTCATATAAAATTGTGTAATTGCTGTTATTTGGTTTATTACAGAATCAGAGAATGAGCTGAAAGAGACTTATAAGAATCATCAAAGTCCAACTCCTGGCCCTGTGCAGGACATCCCAAAGGTCACATCTTGTGCCTGAGAGTGTTGTCCAAATGCTTCTTGAACTCCCCTTCCCCTTCCCCTTCCCCTTCCCCTTCCCCTTCCCCTTCCCCTTCCCCT